GACAGGTACGCGCTCGGGGTGTAGGCAGGCAGGCAGGCCGGCGCTCGGGGTGTAGGCAGGCTGGCAGGCAAGCATGCACACGCTCGGCCCGGGTGTAGGCAGGCAGGCAGGCAGGCAGGCCAGCGCTCGGGGTGTAGGCAGGCAGGCAGGCAGGCGCTCGGGGTGTAGGCAGGCAGGCAGGCCGGCGCTCGGGGTGTAGGCAGGCAGACAGGTACGCGCTCGGGGTGTAGGCAGGCAGGCAGGCCGGCGCTCGGGGTGTAGGCAGGCAGGCAGGCAAGCATGCACACGCTCGGCCCGGGTGTAGGCAGGCAGGCAGGCAGGCAGGCCAGCGCTCGGGGTGTAGGCAGGCAGACAGGCACACACTCGAGGTGTAGGCAGGCAGGCAGGCACGTGCTCGGGATGTAGGCAGGCAGGCAGGCACGCGCTCGGGGTGTAGGCAGGCAGGCAGGCAGGCACGTGCTCGGGGGAAAGGTCTCTTAAATATGGGCAACGTGGAGCAGCAAGTACATGACAGGGTCGCTCACATCGTCTCCTTGCCCCGTCTCTCGTCATTTCATGGGCCCAGTGGGAGATGCAGCCTGTCTGGAAAATTAACGTCACGTGTCGAGGAAGACAATGGTGACAGACTAGGCTGGAAATGATGGCGTTGTCTGGGCTGGAAATGGCCTTAGTGTATGTGAGCAAGGCAAACTAGCCTGGCCAGATGTGTAAAAAGTCTGAGCAAGTAATGGTGTCAGTTTTCAAAGACAACAGACAGCCCTGGCAGTAGTCACATAACACGGCTATCTTACGTGGATTGCTAATGCCATTTACTGAGCTCCCAGCTGTATGATAAAACGGGTGCATAAAAGGTTAGAGATCAAGTTCATCCATTAAGTTAGCAGACTGCAATAGAGTGCACGAAAAAGTTAAAGTTGGGCTTTTGATGCAGAATGTTTTTTTTTATTTTAATATCGCCTAAATGCAATTTATTCGTCGTAAAATTTCCTCGCTGAGATGGAAAAACATCCTGAGCTTACAAGATCAACCAGCACATGAATTATTTGGGAGAATTTGCAATGCTACTGAATTGTGCCCGCAATAAAAACAATTTAATGTTGCTTTAATCAATGATTGCACTCCGACATGCAAACCTAGATGGCAAGTTCAAATATCACATAAGAATTCTGTAGGATTTCACGTTTGATGCTCCACACTACATTCAAGCCACGCTAAGCAAATACGGGCCAGATGGTTGTGTGTTGCAAGTACAGCATGGCACGTAATACAAGTAGCCGATAAACAGGAAGAGTTAAACTTGAATTTAGAACAGGCAGGAAGGAGGAGTACCTACAGCTATTTCGCTTCTTCGATAATCATCGCTGCAGCGATAGACACTTGATGAGCCTGCTACTGCTGCTAACATCTACCTCTATATATATATGCAGCATGTGTTTGGATCAGCACAGATACTCAAGGAAGTCAATTTAAATAAGATCACTAAGTTTTCTCAACGATAATGCTCCCGAATTAAAATAATATTAGCCTACCAATTTTGAATTTTTCTGCATTGGTTTCACACGCTCCACAACGTGGCAAGGGCTAATTTTGCTCTGACATTTTATCAGTTTTTACTATATATTTTCACAGGATTCCCTGTAAATTGCCAAGTGTGCACTGCTGAATCTTATTAGTTCTTGCAGTCATGGAATTTCACAAAAAATTCCAAGCATTATATAGAAATTATAGTCATTATAAAAGAGAATAAATTACAGATTTTGAAGCTTTGGTAGGTAAATATGCAGATAAGTAGGTGGATATGTAGGTAGAGAGGGAGATAGGTAGGCAGGTGGGTATGTAGGTAGGTTATTATAATGATCAATTCTTTAAAATATATATCAAATACTTCTCCCTAACAGCATCATCATCCATCTTTTGGAGAAACGAAGTAACTTTGCCATTGTCAAAATATCGGTAAATCAGTTACGGTTTATGATTTATTTAACACACAAAAATTGGAAATTAGCAAAAAAAAACTCTTCAAAATGGGTCATTTTTAGAGGGTTGGCCCGGTAAAGGCAAACAAGAATATTTTTTATTTAATTTGTTCATGCCTTACCTCTGATAATCGATCGACGATTCGGGTCATCTCCACTTCTTTATCGCTGGCAGGCAAATTTGGCTTCGAGGCCTTCAACTCCTTCTTTACCTGATGGGAAAAACACGAGTGATGATACAGACGCGGTTATGACAGTGTGCAACACGCTAATAGCACCAGAATACCCATCACTGCTATTAGCTGGCAGTAGCCGATGGAAGATTTCAGGAGTACAAGGAAGAGCAAAACTCAAAGGTGGAAAATGGAGTAGAAATTCAAAGCTCTGCTCAATCTTGAGTGTTGCTCTTACAAAGAAAACGTGTGAAGTAGATGTTTACAACGGATTAAAAGATTATTGTTAGTTACCTGAAGTGGGGATCTACTGATGTGGATTTAAACCCTTGAGTCCAGTATAAAATAAAGAAACCGAAAACAACACAACAACAACCTGAGCCCACTTACCTACTGAGATTTAGCAGATAAATATAAAGTTGGCCAAATTGTGACCATGTGATATCACGTTGGAACCTTGATTTTATGTAAATTTACATTTTTGGGGCTGCTATGCAATGTTAATTCACCACCTCATCATCATTCATCACCTCAACATTTGTATTTTACATCATAAAAGCTATATTATAACTAGAAACGAGCAGTTGTCGCCAACTACATGTATCCCCGTGATCTAGTATGAATGGAATATCTCTGTAAAGAGTGTAGAAGGCACGGTAAAAGTTAAATAAAGTCGGCAAGCACAAAGGTTCCGGCGTGTAGACAAACCTGTTGTGCCGGCTTCAGATGTGGAAGTATATGGAATCTGGTTACCTCTAGGAGGCCGAAGAGGAAATGTAAGTCGACAGTGAAAGCAAACTAAGGTTAAGGGCAGTGGTCGGTTTTGGTATGCTGCCGAACCAGACTTCTCCCAAAGATGTGTAAGCCATACCAATTTGGTCTCGCGCTAACGGTCAATTACGGGGCGCCGAGTTAGAGAGCGGAAGGAATATGATGCAAGCGTCAAGTTAAAGGTGAAATAAGGTCGGCAGTGAGCCCGTGGTTTTGTACCCGATCTCGGTATGCATTCAAGGATTTGGCATGAAGGTGCGTATATGCCGGTAAAGCGAAGACGCAATCGTTTTTGGTGTGGGCGGAGTGCATCGTTGGCCATGGTAAAACATTTCTTGTTGAAATACTTGATAGAAGCCTGGTAACCTGTGCTGTTTTACCCGATTGTCATGGACATTTGGCACACAGGGCGATATAACGGTCCTTAATAATATATATATATATTATATATTATATATTTCATGACAATCATAAATTTAATATATAAATTTACATACAATGTATAATACAAAATATTAATGTAAATTTTAATTTGTTTAAATTACATTTTTTTTTTTAATATAAATTTAAATTATGAAATTTTCAATACAAATATATAAATTCATGACGCAATCGGGTAAAAAGCTGCAGAACTTAATGTTCTAGAATATTTCGAGCACAAAATGTTGTTTACCAATGGCAAACCGATGACTGCCACACCAAAAACGCATAAGGCGTCTTCACTTTACGATAACGCACCTTCATGCGAAATTTGAAGATGATCCGAGAAGAACTGCAGCCGGTAGAGCGTTCACAAGGAAATCTCTGCGGCGCCGGCGCGACGATGCCAAACCCCTAGTATCCCCACGAACTTCGTTCGGGTGATACAATAACTCATATCCGCATAGACCTTCCAGCAGTTAACAATAAACACGTCACATATTTGTTACTATGACAATGACCTCTTCCACTGTTCTTTGTCTCTCAATTGGGTTACATTCCTACGAATTACCACTCAACTTAACCTGGCTTTATTCTGGATTGATATTCATAGGATATTCACGCCTACACTCGTAAAAAAAGCGTGTAAAAAGAAGAAAAATAAGTGAGAATCACTCTCCCTGAGAATTTCACGAGGCATGTCATGTATGAACGGATGGAGGGCCCGGGAGAGGATTGTACCAATTGGAGTTGATTACATGTGTCATAGGCGGCCCCAATACACAGGTAACCTCGATCAGTTAGGAGACGTATACGGGAAGCTGCGAAAACTGCAACTTTGTTGGGATTGTAAAAAGTAAACATAGCTGGAAATGAAGGCTTGCGATAATGCAATTAAGGCATGTTGGAGGATTTATGGCATGTCACAAATTAGCTTCAGATTTCAATGCACATCAGACCCAACATGAGTTAAATGCCTGGGAAGAAACCTGTATACAGACAGATGTTAGACACGACTTTAAGCAACTCAATGTCTATGCTAGGGCTAGGCAAAACTACATTTTAATAAAAGCAAAGAAACTATCTACTTTTTGATGGTAGTGTGCATGGCAACACAAATGATTAATTAGCCTTGGATAAATGGGACCTTCATGAAATAGAAGTAAATCTATTTCAGGGACTAAAATCCTATTTAATTAGGTCATGAGCTTAAACTTCAACTATAAAAGCACCGCCTTTCAGATCAAGCTGAACCCGGCAATCTGCGATCATGGCAACAGTAACTATTCGTAATGTAACAGTACGTAACTATATGTAATATATTATCTGCACGTCGCATCAATTCGTCTTTAGAAACCCATTTATGCTATTATTGCACACACTTTGTGTAACCCAGCCACAGCAAGTGAGATGGTACGTATATGCCATGTAATTATTTAATCGCCTGCAAAGGATTACGACTAGTTAATTGCTTGCCAAGCATGGATTATGTAATAAGTAAATTCTAGACACATGCTCAGGATATTCTTTAGAGTAGTTGGCTTAAAAACTTGCTGCACACAATATTTTATGCCAACGGTAATTAGAAATCTATTTTTAAAATATCCCAACGTTGCTGCAGCATATTCATGATTAGTATAAGAGTGAGTCGTCTCCTGGATACGGCTGTAACTGTAAACGATAAACTGTTTCCCAGAAGCACTGTCTGCAAACGGGACAGGTAAGGAGGATAAACTCTCTCCCCAAGCAGTGAGGGAATACAGGTTAGTTAAGGGGGATAACCACTTTCCTAAATGCAGTGTCTGCAGAAGGATAGGTAAGAAGGATAAAATATCTTCCAAATTCATTGAGCAGATTCAGGATATATGAGTGGGATAAACTCTCCCAGAGGTACTGTCTGCAAACAGGAAAGGGAAGCAATGTAAACTTCCGCCTGGATGCACTGGGGGTATACAGGATAGGGGAATGAGCTCTTTCCCTGATACATTAAAGAAAATTAAAGTCGACTCAACTACCGAGAGTAAGTTAGGATCGAGCATCTCTGTCCGTGAACATACGCACCTTCTTGAGGAGCGGTCCCTCGTCGGAGCTACTGGATGCCCTCCGTCCCTGCACCCTTCTAGACGAGTCTCGCTTGGCTCTCTCCATGCCAGCCGACCTCTGCTCCACCTGCAAGCAGTCATTACAGTACTTAAGCCATCATAGACAAGATCTCGAAAGATGCGAAGTCTCGTGAATTTGAAAGTATATGCACGACAGAGTAATGCGTTGCCACCGCGGAGTTCAGGAACTTGTGACGGCGCGCAGACGCTTATCTAACAAAGAGGGAAATGGCAGAGCATTATAAGGAACACGAGATTTCCTAAACGTTAAATGTTAAAACGTGAAATGTCTCAACGAGAATTGCTGGATACCAATGACGTGAAGTTACATTAATAGTTTCACAGTGTGAGGCAATGCAATAATATTCATCCAACACTATCATCCAATCGTGCTATGGCAGTATGAATATTGGGAATAGAGCATTTATGACATGCACCTAGGTGAAAATGCCCAGTGTTCCTATTATTGAAAAAAAATGCATACTTAAAAGCACTACACGTTCATGTATGGTATTGATTTCAATAACCAGGAACCCTAACAGATAGAGATTTATGATGTACATATAACATGCAAGTTTCATTTACAGGTGGTGGGGACAAGAATTCTTTTCAGATTGCCTTCTTGATTCAGATTGCCTTTCTTTGTGTCATTTACAAACGATTATATTCAGTGATCAATACATCCTACGCATGGAAATCGAAACACATATGCATGCTTCCATTCCGCTAAGGGTAGTTTTTGCCTGTTCAGCAGCTAAGACCTCATTGCAGCAGATAACTACGCATGTTAATTGGACTCGTTGCAAGACAAATGATTAACTAGCCTTGAGTGGACGTCCGTTTCATTAAATGGAAATAAATTTATTTTAGGAACTAAAATCCGAGAGCTTAAACTATAGCTTTGAAAATAATGCCATTCAGATCACGCTCAAACAAACAGCTTCACTGTGCGTATGTAGCACACATTCACTATATACAGGCTTTTCTCATTAGGTATACCGAGTGAAGAAATGAAATCCGTTGTGTTGAAAATCAACCAATTGTCACCTAGATGTAACCTACACGTATAAATAGCAAGTAAATTTCATGAAATATTTAATAAAGTATGAAAAACCTCAATCTGCCATTTTATTCTTTCCCTCTACGTTTGATTATAGTACACGTTTTTTTTCATAATGACCATATATTCTAAGTAATTAGTATGGCCATGATACACTTTTATGGGGTTATTACATGGACAAGAAAAATAAGGAACTTGCATCTGACCCTTCTTTGAGGATATAATACATCACTGGATATTACTACATACTGTGGAATGCACTTTTCACACTGGTACCCAGTCACCTGTCACATTGTTTAGTTCCGTACACTATTATACTGTAGAACGACTAATAAATAAACCAGATTTCGTAATTACAGTGCACTTCCATTTAATTTTTTGCTAGTTTTATCCCATTTCCGTTTTCGCATTATATACCATTTTCATTATCCAACAACCTACAGGATTCATTTAGGTTGGCTTATTGAGACACAGCTGTACAATTAATTGCGTGTAAAAAATGCGTCTTGCCTCATACATTGGCAATTTTATGGCCGACCAATTTCAGTCGTGTCATTTATTCAAAGCAATTAGTGTGTGTAATTACCTATCTATTACCAGCCATATATTACAGTAAATTTCATCTGGCACCACTAGAAAATGGACGTTTGACAGAGTGAAATAAAACGGAGTAGTTATTCCATTTTTAATTGTGGGATTATAGATACAGAAACCAATTGGGCAATACCGTTTATAGAATCTTGATTCACTTCAAATTAAACATGACATGTACAATTAATTACATGTACTTAATTTATTTTGAAACTATTTCTAACCTAGTCTAAAGATACTTTATATTTATAACACTGGTGAGTGTTGGTCTTTCTTCTGGTGCCACTAGTTTGAAAGTACCATTACATAGTGCTGGATAATCGAGATGTGTACCAGGTTCTTGCAGAGGCATCTGTATAGCGATATTTTGTTTAACGGTGACCCTATCATATGACGTCACGTGTTCACACAATTACAAAAATTTTTGTATTATGGGTAACAACTATGACAATTTTTGTCTGAGGGGATTCTTGCCTCTGGTCAGGCTAGGAGATTTTTATCTCAGCTACGATCCATGTGCAGATTTTCCCTGCGCTAAATGACCAAATTATGACCCACCCTGATTGACATAAGAGACATAAAGGGGTGGACACACTAGTCGATTTTTCATGCGGTCGAGCCGCTCGGCTAAGCCGGCCTGCTGAAATCGCCTAGTGTGTCCAGTGAGTCGCGTTCGATTTTCGAGTCGGCCGGCTGAGTCGCCCGAATCAAACATGTTTGATAAAATCAGGCGATTATTTGAGTCGCGCGACTATATTCAATGCGCGCCCGAACAATGCAATACTATACAATGCTCTACTACGTGCGCCCGAATGTGCAATTCATCAGCCAATCAAACGGTGACATTTTCAATCATGTGACTATCATCATCATTCAACCAGGCGGCTCAATCGCATGAAAAATTGGCTAGTGTGTCCACAGCTTTAGTCGCCCGACTCAGCCGAGCGGCTCAAATGGTAGTAAATACATTTCGTGTTTATTTACCATTATTTTTTTTATTGAGAAGTTTCAAGTGCCTGTGCTTGTTCCTACGATGCCCCTACGCTGAGATAATAAGCGGTGAAAATCTGGTATTTTTGCCGAAAACCGATTTGCGATAGCTTCAGGAAACCTTGCCTGTTTCCGTCATTGACGTCTGTTATTGATTGCCATAGTGATGACCCCCACCTCACGCTGGATGTAGTAAACTCTGTAGTAATGACGCGCTACCATGGCGCTACACAGCGGCGACTGGAAGCAACATACTGGCCACAGAACGAGAGAGGGTCGCAGCCAACGGGGATCTCGAGTCGGTTTACGGCAAAAATACCAGATTTTCACCGCTCATTTTCTCAGCGTAGGGGCATCGTAGGGACAAGCCGTTTGTTTTATATTAGCAAGGAAGGACAGCTGAACAATAATACCGCAAAGAATCGTCAAAATAAAATGGGCAAAGTTTTTTAATTCGACTAATACTGCAACATGGTTTCAGCATTTTACCATTGTACGCTTCCTTCTTAATACGCTCTTGAATATATTAATTATTAGCTCATCTGACATAGTCAGATGCAGCTTGTAGAATCGCATGATCGTCCGTCCGTCCGTCCGTCCGTGCGTCCGTGCGTCCGTCCGTGCGTCCGTCCGTCAACAGTTGGGCACAAATCTTAACCGCTCGATGTACGGTCACGATATTCGGGAGGTGGGGGGGTAATCCGAAAACGAGTTGGGATGTCGAAGCTGGGGGTCAAAGGTCAAAGGTCAAGAGGTGTAAAAGAAGGGGGAACATTCCCTCCTTAACTTAAGGTATAAGGAGGAAATGCAGAATTGCGGCACAAATCTAAACGGCTTGACCTAGGCTCATGGTAGTCGGTGTATAGCATCATGGTAGGAAATGCCATCACTGTGCTGAAATTGTAGGTCACAGGTCAAAGGTCAATTGGGCACAGCGGTTGATGGTCAAAGGTCAGTCTGACGGAGCGATTGAAAAACTTTTTTGTTTCAGTGTATAGTACCTTTTTTGTGTGTTACATGTAACTTATGCCACTGCCAGTTAATGTGGTGGTGATAGTACTGTGTAGTTTTTGCCTGCGTTAATTAGTTACAGGTGGCAGCTCTCTATTTCAGCCTGTAGGCTTGCATAGGTAAATGAGACTATCATCATCATTCAACCAGGCGGCTCAATCGCATGAAAAATTGGCTAGTGTGTCCACAGCTTTAGTCGCCCGACTCAGCCGAGCGGCTCAATCGCATGAAAAGTCGGCTAGTGTGTCCACAGCTTAAGATTGCATTCTCTCATCATGCTGGCACTTCTCGCTGCAAATACCTCTCCAGGAAGATGGCCAGATAGAAGGTAAGACGGGGGCAGGTAGAGGCACGTGAGCCAGAATTTATAATTTACACGGAATCACCAGTTTTGGTGCCCTGGAACAGATTAAACCTTTAACATGTAATTCTTAGACATGTTTAACGGTAGCCATGTATTATGATGGTCTTCGGGGAACCAGATACCATCTCGATACGAGATTCAGTTGTAAACTGACACTCGTCGCACACCATACCTTTTCAACTTTCTTCTTCATGGTGGGAGTAGCCGACAGAGCTGGCTTTGCATTCGATATAATGGCTGCTTTTTCTGGCTTCTCGACGACTTTCACTGGTTTCTCCAGTTTTTCGGGTTTCTCCGGTTTTTCGGGTTTCTCCTCGCTCTTCGGACTGTCCAGTGCAGACACCTGCTGAAATTCAAAGGGAAACGTGAGGAGCGCTGCGGGAATCAACGATTAAACCTGTGGCTGCCACAATCCACGTCCTCATTCCTGCCTTCCTGCTGGGCGACAACTCACTCCCTTCGTGGATTACACCTTTGTGTTACCTACTGCCTGTAATAAACGATAGTTAGTTCTATACGCACACTCACTGAGCAAGAGTTAGTGCCGACGAGAAACGAGTGTTAATGTGTGGTATATGCAGTCGACGAATGACCGAGGAATGTAACTGGTTGAGAAGGTAAAATGTGATAGCGATGTAGACACAAGAAACAGAGCGTAAACCCGAAACAAAAAAGAGTGAGTGACAATGAGAAGATGAGGAAGTAAGTGAGAGATTTGCAACATGACCAGATGGTGTGCATTAAAGAACAGGCATACAACCACACCAGCAGAAACCATAGGAGATAGACAGCTTTCTCTTATTTAAACATACATCATTTATACAAAACATACTAATGAGTAGAAAGTTATTCCAAGTTGCAAACAGCTCTCTAGGCAGATGTGCAGCTTTTTTTGTCGCATTCTAGCTAACCATATCAGTTAGCAATGTAATAACTCAATGTGTTTTCAGTTAGTGTTTACTTACAATAGTATCATTCTTAGCCACATCAAATATTCCAGCAGCCAGTAATATGGCCAACAATTAACACTAAAATGCAGGATATTTCAACTTTTTTAAACTGGCTTTTAACCTTTTAAAATAATTTGCATGCTAAGTAATCACTGGACAGCTAATTTGTATATATCAGTACATTGGATTAGCGTTTTAGTTTTTCCGATTGAGTTCTTTGGTCCATTTTCTGATAGAAATCTGTTCTTGCCCCCAATGAACACATCTTTTCAGCATACTGTTCTTATGGTAGTTCTCAATTTAACCCTATACTGCAAATATTAACACAGTAGGTGATTTCCCTTTTCTGATTATTTTGGTAAACAGAAGAGTGTCCACTGATGCCATCGCATACCTTACTTTCACTGAATCAAAGAGGAGGAGCAGAGATGCAAACCCCACAAAGAAGGTAAAGTGTGCACAGGGATAGGTCATTCAAACTACATAGCATGGATCACAAATAAAGCAGTTAAATTAAAGGATGGTGGAGAAGAAAAAAATAATAAGGATAGTCGGGTAGTAAACCTATGTGTGGCAGGGTTTCCACCAGCCCCTTATTTGAGAGGGGAGAGGGGAGACATACCTCACATCACAATTAACCATCTCGGTGCAATTGATTTTCAAGCCAAAATTGAAAAGACCTCCAAAAACATCTCACAACACATTGAAATATGTTTTACATATTCACGTGTTACATCTCTATTCGTGTCGATAAAACAAAAGAATGCCGCATAATTTAGGTTTCGAAATTTCCAAATGGTTCCTCAGGAACTGCCATTAGCAGTCGGGTGGGACAGGCAAACCCACACGGCATCCACCATCTCTTCGTGCAGAACTCTATTGCCCTGTAACCGTGCCGCCCCCCTCCCCACCATGCGGAACCCTGGGGGAAACCCTGTTTAGGTTTTACCTTCCCAGCAAATGGCGTTCTGGAATAGTCTTTTGCAGGCGGCACGAATTTCTTGCCTGTCGCGTTTTCAGGGCGTATCAAGTTCAGCTCCTCATCAATGCTGGGCAGATCTGCTGTCTTTACCGGCGGCTGTGCAATGCAACACGAGTCCGCGAGAGGAGAGAAATACCAAATTTCAGTTGCAAGATCACACCGGATCGGAAGCCATGTAAACGCCACGCTTTAAACGCGCGCACCATTCGTGCGTGGCTGATTACGACTGAATCTGATATCTCCCGGGATCGATTTTCTAATGCGTGCACAAAATCTAAAACAAAAGGGTTAGGGTACAGGTGCATGCAGAGGATTGGGGAAGAGGTGTAGGGAGTCATGTTCATCTTCGCATAGATTCAAAGTTCCAGTGTACGTCCAAGTTAAATCATGATTTGTTTCACTGTTTAATAAACGAGTTGCCGGTTTTTGCTCAAAATAAATGCACGATAGCACGGTGTAACACGGAAGTGCTGTTTTAAGTAATAATTTGAAAAAACTACATTTAAATTGTGTCTAGTTTGACCAGCAGCAAATAACGACAACTAATGTTAAACGAAAACTGGCTCAATTATACTGAAATTTATAAACCTGTGTCCTCTGCACAACATTTGTGCTGCAGTATACCATGTAACAGCTAGCACCTAACCTTAAAAAAACCAGGACCCATCATGACCCTTGTCCTAACTACACACAACACACAGCAAAGCTCCACACTAAATTGACGATATTCAACAACCACAATGAAAATGACAGGTAATCTCAAAAAGAGAAGCGTCAAGCAGAAACGTCACAGTCAGAGTATACTAGACTGCAGTTTATTAATTGCAATATGAGAGCAAACTCTCATAATTTTTGCTGCAATGTCGCTGCAAATTGGATATGCACAGCTACGTTTACCTTGGACGACCTTTAGCGTCACAGCAGTATTGCTACAATGCACGCATGCATCCTCCACACAGTGCTGTGTTCGTATGATGCACATATACCTTTGGTTTGTTGGTAAGCAATTCTTCCGCACTCTCACACGCATCTCTGAATGAACCGCCCCGGCCACTCTTCTTGTTGGCTGCCTTGCCCTTCTCGTACATTGATACCAGGTCATCCACGATCCAAGCACTGTAGGGATGAAATAAACACTGGAGAGACTAATCCAGACAAAGGAAATGATTATATTACTGGACACCCACTGATATCAATTATTGATGAGTAATCGGAATTATATTTAAATGCTCTACACAGCAAAAATATAAAAAGACAATCTTAAATTTATCTTGCAGTCTAATAGCTCTACTACAACACTACTACAGCTAATAGTGCAAAATCACCAATGATATATTCTGTATATCATTTTAGCACAGATACACACCAGAAACCACCCTTTATGGCCCATTTTATCAAATTATTAAACAATTTCCTGTAACTAAAGCAATTGGTCTAAGATATTTTTTTGAATTAAATAAATAACATGATATTGTATATGACAGCAAATATATTTACTTGTGTTTGTTCATATCTTAACAAATGCCATTTATATACATCTTTGCATTACTACACATTTCCTAAAGAAGTCTTTTCCTGTAATGGCCATCATAAACATTTTAATTAGTCACTTACTAGTTTTCTGTGCTGAAGAAGAAGACGCATGTCATATTCTTCTTCCCTGCAGGTTTCTTTACATCCTTTGGTGGGACAACAACCTATTAAATACAGTAAATGAACTTTTAGATATAGTGTAAGCCATACACTTTCCTCATTTAAAAAACAACTAATACATGTTTCATACTACTGGAGGACTTTCAATCACTTCTTCAATATCACAAATAGTTCTCACACCAGTGATTAGTGATCAAACAGAACTTCTTAATAAATATATATATTAAACCAGAATGTTTGCTAGAGTTTTTCAAATATAATGACTTGAACAGCCCTTACTACATTTCTATGTCATCTTTAAATCAATTAACTGAACTAGAAAATACTCAATGAAATTTATTAGGTTTCTATATGTCAGTTGTGAATTATAAATGTAGTACTCAATTAAATTTATTAAGTTTCTATATATCAGTTGTGGGTTATAAACGTAGAACTCTCATCAGTGAATGAAATATTTTAATGTATAGTGTAAAACTATAAATTCATGAACAATATATTGCAATAAACGTTTACATCGCTTCAAGTAACATTCTAAATCTTACATTGTAAATAATACTGGGGTCTTACGCTAAGCCTCACCTTGTCTGCAATGTGTGTGCGTGTGTGCATGCATCCGTGTGGGTGTGTGTGCATCACTATGTGTGTGAATGCATGCATGTGTGCATATGTGTGTCACTCTGTGTGTGTGTGTGTCTGTACGTCTGCATGCTTGTGTATTGAGGTGGTTAGGTGTGAGAGCATTCATGTGTTAAGGCGTGTATGTCACTATGACTATGTGTATAACTTGTATCGTTATGTTCCCTGTTGACGTGTTGTGGAGTGTTATCTACCATTTGATTTACCGTTTAGCTGTAGCTGTAGCCAAACAAACATAATAAATGCTATATCGTCCAGAATTACTAACACTGTTCACTTAACTTCCAGCATGCTTCTACCATGTATATATTTTTTGTTATACAAGTGCGATAACCTAATTATTAATTGTCAATATCTGTTGCTGTTTTCAAACTAGCCTACCGTCACAAAGGCAACGCGCCGGTTACGAATTGACGTTCTGTATTTACCTTTCCCGGCCACGGCGGAAAGCCCTTCATTTTCGCCCTGAAATAAACAGATAATAAAATTAAGCAATTGTATCTGGTTGATTAGGTTCTATAATAATGTTAAATGGTCTGCATACTTAGTAGTATCGTAAGAAACTTACCATACTATATCACCAACGTTGTACAATTCCGACGCCATGTCTCAAGCTTCCGAACTTGTTGTGTCAAGATGAAAGCATTATGGGTAATGCCCAATAACGGTGGTATCGCGGTCAAATCAAATACGGCGTCCATACGTATGGCGCTCACTCGCTCACTAGTGAGTGAATATATAGCTTTAGAAATGTTTAATAAATAAGCACATTCAGTGCGATAACTTTTTTCTTTAACTGTAAATAAGTATGTTTAACTTAAAATTACTGAATGCGCTTCTGAAGCTCGTGCATTGTTTTTCTCCCAGAAAGAAAAGCCAAATTACGTGTTTTCCTCAAGAAGAAAAAATTGTGCATACTAGCATTCACAATAAAAGTGAATAAATACAACTATTGTTTTGCCTGATGCCCATGTATGTGTTCAAACAAAATACATGTGTTCATGCTATTACGTGCAGCTTTTACTAAATTTACACAATACACATTTGTATTTTTATGTCATTCTACATACAACATGAGACACAATGTCTATACTAAGTCGCAACCATTCATAGCAGACCATTTCGTATTTTCAGCTCAGTTCATCTACACTTCCAAAATGTGTGAAAATTGTTGAAGTTGGTCCTAGGGATGGGCTACAAAATGTAAAGGTGAGATTTTGTGTCATTATTTCCTCCTAACATTTAGTTGTTTGGCAATACTTAAAGCATTATCTTTGCTGTTTGCCAATATTAGCTTAGGGTAAAATAAATTATCAACTGGATATTAACATTCGACTTGTAAGGTCTATCCTAAATTGGTAAGTAATTGGGTCATTTGACTTGAAAAAGAAATTCACTGTGTAGGTTAGCACGAGGGAAGCACCTCATGTCATGTAACAACGTCCCAGACGTTATCCTAATGTCTTGTGGTAATCTATGCTAAGTTTAATCAGACTTCTAAAGGGTTAATTTTAATGTGAAACTATGAACTGGAAAAAAATACTACAATGAAATTTATTTACCGTTGCAGGACATTGTTGCGACCGCAACTAAAATCGAGTTGATTAATCGTTTGTCGGAGACCGGATTACCTGTCATAGAGGCAACTAGTTTTGTTTCGCCAAAATGGGTGCCACAAGTAAGTAACGTTGACATGCGTGACCGCTAACAGCGGAATATATCTGTTAAAAGTTTTTTATGGGATTATTATGATGATTATTATTACTTGGTCACTGCTGCATCTCAATTAAGCTTCTATTATCAATTATTGTATAAATGGTGGTTTAGAAATAAAGGTCGATAAAATTGGATTGAAGCCATGTCACATCTAAATCATGGTAATTGTAAATACTCATTCTGCAGGATTTCTGTGAATTTCCGAGACCAAGATTGTTGGATATGAAATGTCTGTAAACATTTGATTATATCGTATTTTTTAATTTATGCACTGCTTGAAAGCCAATAGTGTCTGCAATCTGAACATGTACACATAGATCTTCAAATGTTAAAAATGCACGCTAGTGCCTTTTTGTGCTCTTAATTGTCAAATATCCTATGTGCACATAATTAGCAGCTGCTGCCATGGTGCTTCTTACCAGGAAGAAAATCAGGGAGTCTCACTATCCGAGCAAAGCGAGGATGCTGCTGGCGCAAAGCATCCTAGGGGGAGGGTGTGGGAAAAACCGACGATTTTATTTTCATGCAGGGGTAAAATTAGGCCGCCCTCATGCCGTCTCTATCAAATTTCATCCGTCTCATCCAAGAATAGGCCGTCCAAAAGACGGGTAGATGGGTCTCTGGCTAATACACTGGTGCTTGTCAACTATATTGTTGAAGTATAGTCAACCAACCTTTTTATATGGATTAATCTGGTTATTACAGATGGCAGACCACACTGAAGTGATGAAAGGAATCGTCAAACATGCTAATGTTCAATACCCTGTTCTTACACCAAACGTGAAGGGTTTTGAAATGGCGGTAAGTACTGACAATATTTGTTAAATGTAAAATATATTGGATCAAGTACTTCTCTCTAAAAAGTGAGTGAGTGTGTGACACTGAGGCAGTATTCTGGTAAAAGGACATTTAGTGTTTGAAGAATAGTTTAGTGCTTCAAGTGTTTGAAGTGTTGTTAGAAGTCTGACCACCACATATCAGTAAGTAAGCTAAATGAAATTGTTTTATGTAACGCGGTTTTAAACTTCTACATATTTTTTTTATTTTTTGTGCATGCTAGCGATGATATGAGTTTCATTTATAAATATGACATTCTGCTTTGATTATTTATTATATTGGCTATACTAAGAACATCAGTAATTTACCATTACTATATTGCTTAGTATGAAGCAGGAGCAAAGGAGGTGGCCGTATTTGGTGCTGCATCAGAAACATTTTCAAGGTATATTGTAGTACCATGTTTTATTCATTGTACACAACATCATTTATGATATAATGTATACCTGTATAAAAGTAATATTTTTGGTCAGCTTTTATTTTCGACTTTTTCGTTGTCATCAAAAAACTACCCAGGCTTCTACTTTGGTTCTGAACTTTCTGACTTTTACTTGAGATATATAAAACGTGATAATTTTTAAACTAGAAATTGTATGTCTACCTTTACGCAGATTGGACTTATACAGTTTTATTGTATAATATAAAGTTATAACCCTATGCAAATATGTGACACTCAAAATTGTGAATTACATGAATGTGCTTAGAAATAGTTGTACTCCTCTTTATATCATGGGCTGATAACAATTAAATGAAGAACAGACATGTTCTATTCTTGTTTAGATATTTTCCACGGGTCTTTTGTAGATTCGACCTGTATGTATTTTACCTGTATGTAATGGAAACTGTAATGCATTTTCTTTCAGAAAAAACACTAATTGTTCCATTGAGGAGAGTCTCAAAAGGATGGAAGACGTCGTTAGCATGGCTAAAGAGAGAAATATTCCAGTTCGAGCGTCAGTATAAAGTACAATATTTAAGCGATAGTTTGCTGTTGTATTTTAGTGTTCATAGTAACTTAAGATATTTGTCCGGCAGAGAATGTGTTTTATTTGGCATACCGAAGAAGTTATTATAGGCTAAAAGTTGTGAGAATAAAACTCATACGCAGTTGCCATGTTACGCTCTATAGCCCTGCGGCAACTGTACGCGGGCTATAGTTACTAGAGCTATAACAACTATAGCTACTATAAGTTATAACAACTATAACTACTATAACAACTATATATAATGTTGTTATATATAGTCGATATACGCGTGTGTGCTGTAGCTGCAGGTGCGGACTTGTTCTTGCTGCCAGCGGGTCGAATGGGAATTCTTGCCGAGTTGGCCCCTCAATTGCCAGTAGCAGCAGCACCTCCAAAGCTGACTCACTCATGTAAAGTGACATCCAAACTACATCCTGACTACTCATCCAAAGCAGCCTGTTTCTCATGTAGCTATTCCCATTATAAAAAAATTTTTTTTTTTTAATTGGGGCGGAAATAATTTAAACGTGGCGCAACGATTGAAACGGGGGGGGGAGTTTTTCCAAACAGGGCGGGCGCGCCCGGTTTGCGCAACGTAGGGAGAAGCCTGCCTCGTCACTGACGTTTGAACGTTTCCGATGTACAATACTCAGTCAATAGACTACCGACGTATTGTACCTCGGAAACGTCAGTGACGAGGCAAGTAGCAATTTTCTCATATTTGAATAGTCAATAGACAATACTGTGAGTGTCAATACATAGTCAATATCAATAATATGCGAAAAGAGCAATCACATTCACAATAGAAATAGAATATATCAAGAGCGTATTAAGAAGGAGAGCGTACAACGGTGAAATACTGAAACCATGTTGCAGTATTAGTCGAATTAAGAAACTCTGACCGTTTTATTTTGACGATTCTCTGCAGTACTTGATCAGCTGTCCTACCTTGCTAAGATAAAGCAAAACGCTTGTCCTCACAGGCACTTGGAATGTCTCAATAAAAAAAAAACGCAGTGGTTACGCGTCCGGAACCGGTCGCCTAGCCTCCAGGCTACGCACCCGGAACCGGTCGCCTAGCCTCCAGGCTACGCGTTCGGAACCGGTCGCCTAACCTCCAGGCTACGCATCCGGACATCCACTCACACAGTGATTGCGCGACTCGCGTACATGCATAATTGCGCAACGGGACGCTCTGCTGCCATCTATCCTTTCATCCGTCCTCTCTCGCTCTCTCTCTCTCTCTCT